CCAAAATACAAAAAGGCCATGTAGAAAGTAATCCATTGATTTCCAAGAAAAATCCTCTGGGTCTGGATCTAAATTCATCCTCGAGTTGAATTGAAGTTCTTTCTGTGATACCACTCCTCCCAAACCAACGAGACAAACAAAAAATCTGGAATGCAAAATATTTGAAACAATAACTCATCGTCCACAATGACAACCATAAAGATGTTGAAGCGCGTGAGAAGGGATGCTCGTCTCGGTTCCCCTGATGTACACAGCGGGTAAAGCTGTATTCACCAGTGCCATTTGTTTCAATCTATGGACAGGGCTAATTACGAGCACCAGACCTCGAAAGAGTTACGTTAGCCAGCATTTACCATGCCACCTCTCCCTCGGTAGTCTGGCCATGTAACAACAGAACACTTGGGCTACATGTGGAGCGTCTATCCGTGTTTTCCAACCACGTGTTATACTGAAAAAGAGAGGGATTGTAACAGGGAAGCAACGGTGACGTTACTCGGCAGGAGCGTTCCCTGTCAAGCTACATGGAGACAAACGAGCGACCGGCAATCAACCGTTGTTAGCCCGGTCCGACCTCTCGCGGCCGCATCTCTGACCGTTCCTTTTTACCCTCGCCGCTTCATCATAATTTATTGTGACACCATCGCGTTAATAACTCAATTTATTTCACTGAAACCAGGGACAGCCCAGTGGCCCATTCTTTATATTCAACTGGAGGGGCTGAAAGATTGGACCATGTCCATTTAGCATTCACTTCATATTTCTTACCAACATGGCCACCCTTGTTACACAAATCAGGATAGATATTACTTTGGAGATTGAAACGTTGGGACTACCATTGGTGATAGCTGAGGGACTCCACTGGCTTAATCTATCTCTTCTTATTTGATTTTAGGATCAAAGGAAGTGCCGAAAGAGAGACATTGCTCTCCATGTCACGGACAATTGACGTGCCACCCTGGGTAGATCTTTTTGGCCTTCCGGATGTACCTCACGGTTGTTTTAATTACGCTCGACTAACCGCCGGCCCGACAATTTACTGTCAGCAGATGCGCTCAATGGCTTGAGGAAACATCACGTATTCAGGGGGAAAATAAAATGAAAAAGAGGTGAGAGGATGGAGATAGACATTGGTATCGTATGCTAAGTATCTTCATCTTGATATTGAAATACATGTTGTATAAATACTCACACCTAAAAGCAAACATTTTTGATGTGGTCATTATGATCATTGGATAAAATGCCTCGTAGACACGTGTGTTTACGACGCAAATTATCCACATTATACGGAGAAAAGAGGGAATATGCATAAGCTGGTTATATCCTCAATTGCTTAACGGTACCTGGAAAACATGGAAAATGTGGACGGTTGAAAAGTACGGGGGAATTTTCACCACAAATGAGTCTGGAATACGAAAACGGTGTTTCTGAGGTTCATTAGTATCGTTGTGCCTCTCTGATTGCTGGATGATTTCATGGACATTGGAAAATATAAAATGAGGAGATAAGGAGAGACATCTGAAGGGGAACACTCGCATTATGTACATCTTCAACATTCTGACTATAAAGACCCGAGAGGGATGAATAAAATTGTTGAGATAGCTCTCGCTTCCTTTAATCTCATCTCCCAGCTTGGGATATCAAAACCACTCACTCCTGCTTTTAGTTAAGGAACTCCTTCGAAGCTGCTTATCGTTGAACCGGGCACTGTAATCAGCCCAAGTTTCTCCATCAATGTTCCATCGCAACGGATGTGGTGAGGACGTAACCCGGTGTCGTCCTTCTTTCCTCGTACTTTTTACTGGGAAATTGCTGACAATCTCTTGACGAGGCCAGAACTATTATTTTGGGTGAAGCACAAGTCGAGTTTTTGTCGCACTGTGATTATCTTGGACTGATCACTTTTGCTAATCGTTGAGCTTCCTTCAAGGAAAATTTCACTTTCAAAAGTACAAAAGACATCAACATCTGCGACAGCTTATTGAGTTTATTGAGTGCATAGAGCGTATGATAGCACACATGCATCGGATTATTCGAAAAATGTCCGTAAGACCAACTGGCAACATATTTCAAGACTCATTATCCTCATCTAGATCTTTCTATCAAGAAATCAGTGATGCACGCAAACCAGACTGTAATAAAGTGATAAAGTAACTTTTTATGAAGCAATTCCTTGCGGTCTCATCGAAACGAATCATTATAATTAACAACCCATGCTTCCGACATGGACAAGAACCCCAAGACTTTGAACATCTCACAGTTTCAGTTATCCGACAGTGGATTCAAACCGTCGGATAGACTCGAATTAATCTATAGACACTTCCCTTCTTCCACAACAACAGAAAGTCAAGATTTCTGCTGAGCTAACATCTGGGGATGAGTAGAACATCTATACTGTCCGAGAACTGTTTCCCAACACATAAGACCATTTCAGCAATCGACTATCAATAGCCATCACATCTGGAACTCTAATTCCTTCAATTGTGATGTTTCTATCAGAGAGTGAGGGACAGCTGGAAGTCGATGATCCAGTCGACAATAATACAGTGAAAGAATATGAGGGTTGATAACGAACAACATCCACACCCGATCGACATTAATCACCCAACTCCAAAAGGCGAGTAGATAGCCGTCGATTGCTGCTCTCTCTCAGTCCAAGGTGAAGGGGTGTCTGATAGATGGAGGTGATGAATGGCTCCGTGACGCCACCACGATCCATCATCTCTGTTGGGGTACTCTAACACACATCAACGCCCGCTCTTCCTTCTCCCGTACGCTGTGATCCTTCCTACACATAACGTGTGAGCAAGGAAGACAGATTTTGCACGAGAGGTCACCCTGGCTAATTCATCATCCGGGGGACGTCGTGGCGGGCTTCCTTAGCCTCATTCCCTTTCTCTCGTATTTCACATGTCGCCTACGTCGTCAGCATAGCCTTCCACGCCTCCACCTATTCTGTGTGGCAGCACGACTAACGCTGTAGTCCTCGGTGGAGGTTTTCTCACCCAGGCTCTTGCATACGGAGTACCAGTGAAGACACATAGGCACATTTCAAAGAAAGACACGTGACTGCTCGGTCGACGTGGAGAATGATCGATGGTGGGGTACACCAGTTATAAGTGTAACCCCTCTTTCACCATATTTTCTCCTCATTTTTCCATCGAGTTTAATGTCACGTGCCCCCAAAATCAAGAAAATCCTGAGGATGATCAATGGGTCTGGATTCTCAAGTAAATGGTCGACTCACAAGATCATCTAGAATTCAAAATGAAAAAAACGTACTGGGATCATAAAGCATTCATCATCGATGCCTCTAGAGCCTCCAACTGTGTCTTACCCACCATCTCACCATCATTTCTCATACATTATTGCCAGAAGTTATACCCTCAATCGATGATTTATAGACCAGTTTGTACTGCACCGAGCCAGGAAAATTCAGGAAGGCACTTGGGTTCTGATGCAAACCCATTGTGTGAGAAACTGTGGGTAGTGCGGACAGATCTATGGTGTGGGAATAACAGCTATAGCCGAAGAAAGTTGCCTTTGTGTTTCATGTATGAACGATACATCAAACCGAGGGCCGAGGGAAGGGATATGTACTGAGTGGTTTTATGGTCACTGGTATTATTGATGCCTCTCATTGTTCAGGCTGACTGGCAAGGCTTTTTCACGAAAATAGCTAAAAGACGTTGGATCCTGAAAAAGTCGCCCAACTCGTCAACTAGCTGGACATTATCCTTTCCCGTTTCACATTGAGCTGACTGGCCTGAAACATTCGTTTACTTCTCCATTACTTCAAATCATCACTAATAACATCGTGATAATGCTTTTGGATTGCAGGATTACATTTGACCATAGATTCTGAAGCGTGACATTAACATTACCGCCCACATCAAACGACTCAAGCACTGATGGGTGGGCGTATTTGATGTCTTTAAATTACATGTGTCTGTCGCTCTAACTCCATCCAACAACGAACAAATCTCTTGGAACAAGAAACACTGTACTTGGGTTATTGACGGTTATCTCATCCCAGGGAGTTTCATCATGCCGTAGAATAGCCAAAGAAAGACATTAAATTCATGGCTACATATACTCACCGAAGAGTGAAGAGATGATGTAGTTGCTCAGGACCTCCCTCTGTTCTTTTCATCGGCATTGTATGTAAATAAGATGGTGGATGAATAACGACGAGAAGGCATAAGACGATGAAAGAAAAAAACCGGAATATCAAAAAATAAATGGGCTGAAGCGGAATCTGAATCATGAGAGTCACGCACATCTGTAATGAGTGCGTTGGTGATTAAGCTTAATGCAACATTCTTCGTGACGTATGCCAATTCATTGCACTAAATGTGTTCCTCTCTTCTTTAATTACGGTCGCCCTATTATACCTCCGGACATTTCGTTTAACTAATTGATATTCAACGACGCAGGTAATTGCCCGGAATAACATGAATTCCAATTTCCAAAGAATGAGACTGAGAAATATGGTGACTGAGGCCATTCATTCCACCACCGTAAAATCACCGGGGGAATATTTTACCACTGAAAAGGTAGTAGAGACGACATTTTCCTTTTCAACTGCCAGACTGCATGCCCAAAAAGTCAAGAGGGTAAAAGCTGTTTTAGCCCCTGCCCCCATTGAGTTTTCCACGATTCTCTCCTGTTCTCTCCAACTTCTCCTCGCACACATCTTCCTACACCAGAGCCACCAGACATTGGTATATACTATATAGGATCGTGTGGCAGGCTCAATGGCTCAGCAGATTTATGCCGCCCGCCTCACAGCGCTGATATCCGAGAACTGACGACCCGCTCTCCCCGTAATGAAAGAAATAAATTTACTCTGAGGCCACCATTCTGAAGGGGAGAGACGAAGGATTGGGATATATTACTTGGATGATACGTTAAAGTGGATTTGAGGATAATGGCAATGATACGAGGTGAATAGGCACAGTGAATACACCATAATGCAAGTCATAAAATGAAAGAGTGACACGTGTATTGAATATGTGATTCTACAAACATGTTTATTAAAGCGGTATGGAAACTCAACGATATTTACAATTCCTATTTACAGTGTGAATGACACATCGTTGCATCGTGTGGGTCGTCTGTGATGATAAGAACACTCATCCGACGGCATGTTAGACAGGCGTGACAATTTTTTACTCTCTCTCGTTTAATCTTGCTAATTTATACCGGATGTTGTGCTCTCAACAATTCAACAATTCCCCAGACGTTTTCACTGTTTACACTCGACATCCACATGATTTCTGCGAGACCCGTGAATCTGAGGGAATCAAACGACGCATAAGCGACTGCAACGGAAACGCTCGGTTCTATAATCGAAATGAATAATAAATATCACAGTTATACAATGGACACGAACCGTATCATCATTTTTTTTTTCTCTTCACGCCTATCTCTCTTGTTTCTTATTCCTCCGTGTTGACTCACGCCATTCTTCAGCGACACATGATTACACATTTTACTCGACAAGAATTACGACGCTGTATTTTCCATCCTTTTACTCCACATTGGACGAGTCATAAAGCCGCCTCGTTGGTTGAAACAAAGACGAAAAAAAAATACAAGGTTGTATGTGTATGATATTGCCAACCCCCTCGTAAAAACTCCAGTGACTCCATGCACACCAGTGTGTCATAAACATTCACCCATACGACAGAGTCAAACACTAACGCAAGAGAAAGAGAGAGAACGAATAAAAAAAACCAATGAAATATTGTTTGATAATTTATATCGAGTGGACACAATCGTGAAAACGAGACGTTTAATAATACCCGCTCGTAAATCAATCGGATTTTAATAGGCGTATAATTCAAGTGTGTCAGAGCCGCTCTCTGCAGCCAACGGGGCGACGTTAAACTGTCGCGATACATCATAAAACTTCAATTGTAATATATTTAGTTTATATATTCATATATTCATTTGCCATGTTTTTTTTTCTCCATTTTCTCTTCATATATATCTATATATTCATTTAAATAAAGTTTCTAATTTACAATGAGCACCCGCGGCGCGTTATGCACAAATGACAGTCTCTGGTTTTATACAATAGTATTGTATACGTGTGTATCTTGATTGAGGCGGGCGATCCATTATTCACCTTAAGGATGGACAGCGGCGCCCATTCGTTGGCCGTAGAGAGTGTATGGTGAGTAATATGGTCCCAGAGTGTTGAATGCACTATAAGGTGATGCTGCGAGTGATGCAGGCAGTGGACCGGCTGGTGGTTTTCCATATGGATGGTATCTGCCACTGAGAGGGCTAAGGGATGGTGCAGGATAGGTGCCTCCAGCAGCGCGATGAAGGGCAGCTGAGGGTGAGAGCAGAGGATGATGGGGATGTTGACCAGCAAGAAGTGCAGCGGAAGCGGCTGCATCACTTCCCGTTATGCTGGTGTGACTTCTAAGGTGTTGAAGAAGTTCCTCGGATGTGGTGAAGCGTTTGCCGCAGTACGTCTCACCTGCGATCCAGTTGCATACATAGGGTCTACCCCCAGCAGCAAGAGATTGAGGGTAGGACATGGATGGTGGAGGCATTGGTCCCAAAGACGAGAGGGCCATTGCCAGTCCGTATTTCTGGTGTTCGCACTGTGTGCAACCACTTGGGCACGGCCCAGCACCCATCATCATCTGGGCATTGTGCATGCTGAATTGGCAGCCAGTGCAGTAGGGATCCTTGCAGACGGGCACCAGTGCTTCACCACCAGCTGGAGTCTTGACGCGAGTATAGCTGAGGTATGGATTGCTGCCGGTTGCCGTCGGATAGCCGAGGAGTGCTGCTGCTGCTGCTGCATGATGATGAGAGAACGGAGAGGCACCAGCGAATGGAGGCCTGAATGCAGGATTCTCCATCAGTCCTGGTGGACAGCACAGAGGATTGCTGCCGAATCCCAGGCCATGCTTGTAAGCACTGAGACTACTACTCTCCTTCGGATGTCCAGCACCTGACAGCACCTCCATTCCTGATCGAATAATCGGGCTCGCTCCACTGTTGCGTGATGAATCGTTTGATTTTTCCGTCTCTTGAGCTGGAGTTTTTCTCTCCAGAGGCGATGCACTACTCGCTGTTGTTGTATTGTTACCCTGACAGGGTGATGCCGATTTACGTCCAAGTGGTGTGCGTTTACCCGATTTTTTATCATTATTGTTATTATTTTCACTTGCACCAACACTGTCCTGACCACTGACACTCTGTACACTGGCTTTCGATGTTGGTCTACTGTCGTCGTGGCTGGATTTTTTAGTTAGAACGTTTGTTTCGTAAGGTTTGAACGCCAGGGGCTTGGGTTCCGACGGACTGCTGCGAGTTCGCTCCATCTTAGCCGCCGGCGGTGAACGGGCGTTTGAGCTGGTTTTCGATGATTTATCCAAGGAAGATATTAGGGGCTTTGTTGGAGAATCCGCTCCAATCTGGCTGCACGTCTGGGCAAGCATAGCCAATGGACTCTTTTTCGCATCCAACTGTAAAAAAAAATGAAAAATCACAATGAATGAGACCGCTAAATGGCACAAGAAATCCACCCATCTGATTGCTTCTGGAATGAAAAATTCCAAAAATCCGAAGAAAATACTAACCGTCGTTGGAAGCGGAGAAAGATAATCCGGTTGTAAGTACTGATTGTGTCCAGTGGTCAACATTCCGCCTTCTTCTAGCACAACCATTTGTATTCACCACTCAATCAATAAAAAAAAATATCACATGAACACTGTATAAATTCACCGAAACTGATTTATCCTCACTAATTACATAAACGATGAGTAATTGTCAGTAAAAACTTATCCCTCGGGATATATCCAATGAACTTGGTGCGGAGTACAGACGAGCGTAGTGTCACGTACAAAATCCAAGAAAGCAGTGAGGAGCGCTCCTCCAAGCCACCAACTCTTCGGAGCGACTGCCTCCAACGCCACCTACTGGTTGCCCCCACTCCTCCACGAGTTTATCGCGTATTGCACTCGGATGGTCCCCCCTCTATCGACAATATACGAGAGTGGGGGATAGCCGACGTCGAGACTCGTTCGTACAGCGGTGGAAATGGGGAGGCATTCTAATTCAACACGCCACCCATGATGTTGGCCCGACGATGACAGCTCCCATCCCGGCTTTGATATTTCACCGCTCTTCCCTCTCCCTCCCTCTCCCTCACCTTCTCCTCGTCTACCTCTGCCTCCCCTATCGCCATCAACTCCCACCATCATCGGGGCTGCCCTCCTTCCCCCTGTTAGCCCCCGTGGACAAGGGGAACCGGTGCTGGGCTGCCGTGGCACGGCAACCCGATATTTTATACCGTGAAACCTGTCTGTCTCTTCACCAGCCGGCTTCGCTTAATAAGCAGCTTTCAAAATAGAAATGTAATGGGAACGTTGGTGAGAGGGCGGAGGGGATCGACGAGGAGCGCCCCGCCCGAGGGGGCCCCAGGGTGGAGAGGAGGTGAGAGCGAGATGGAGGATGGAAGTAGCAAGTGATTGATTGCTCGTTGGGCGACTTACCGACCACCACTGCTGACGCCTCCCTTGCGCAGCGCGTCAGTAACGAATGACAGCCACTTAGCCGCTGTTTGCCTACAATTTCGTGAAAGCGTTTTAATTATCGCCCCAACGAAATTCCACCTCTCATTGACGTCTCGACGTTATACCGCCACTACTGTATTACGTTTGGGCTATTCGTTAGTCTGTTGGAGTGACCGAGGTTTACCCGGGATTAATCTCGAGTAAATTGAAGATGAAAAACAACAGAACTGAGGTAAAGGAGAAATGAGATTAAGTACGGTATTACGAGGCACTTCTTACCAATGCACCTTGTTTCCTTCACCAACGAGATAGTTATGTTACAAGATAATTGCGACGAATTATTCGAGATATCCAGAGGGTCCCGCTGGCGCATTGTGCACGGTGTGCGCGCACACGGGCGAGGATAATTAGCCTCGGGGAAGGCTCCGCGGGGAATACAATCCAGCCAGGGGGCGAATACTCAAGCCTCTCGGGTTTATAGTGTCTGAGAAATGCCGTGAGGTATCTCAGTGTAATTTAAATTGAAACTCGTTATATACCATCTAAGGTATGCTTAACCGAATGTGTCAGAGAGTTGACGTGCTGCAAATTAACTTGATATCTCTCCTAGCCCCATTTAATTTTCATTATGTTTCTTCATTCGAGGTGAGTGCTTCATTCCCTCTCTGCGATTTTTTTTTCTCCGCAGAGTTGTTGGTAAACTTTGAGTTAGCATTTGAAATCTCAAAATCTTGAAACGATGAGAATTCCTACCAGGGGTTTTGCTGGGACTCACTCTCTCGTCCGCTAACAATCTACAACGCTAAAACCCCAGGACGTTCTGACGCTGACGGATGAGCTTACAGCTAATATGGCGGTGGCCTTTGATGTTTGCCGACCTGACGGGAGGGATGCCGAGACAAACTCGGGAGAGAATCTGCCGATGTACCATTACGAGAAAACCCTCCCTGCCTTTTGCTCGACAAAAGGATCCACATTGCGCTTTGCTTTTCTACCAAACATCACAGCGAAATTTGTAAACAAACTGTCATGAATCCGTGTGGAAGATCACATACCGAAAATTATTACTTCTGACACGCATTGTTTATTCACTGCAGCTTCAACGCTCATGAAGAAATTCGGAGTGGCAGGGAGGGTAAATAATCGCGAGATGGAAATGCATGGGATCACTCCAGTCCAGAAATTTCGTCAGTTTTTTGTCTGGCTGAACAGGTTGAAAAGAAATGTTCTTTTCAAAGAGATGACTAAAAAATTCATTTTCCTGTTTTTTTTTTAATTACAAGATGGTGCTGCTGCACATAGAGCGATAGGTCTGTGATATTAAAAATGAAGTTTCTGAATTTCGATAATTCTTAGTTCATGTTAAGATTTAATGAATTTTATAAAATTTTATAAAATTTTATAAAATTTTATAAATTTATTTAAATTTAAATGGAAGTGTGAAACTAGAAACATTTCGGTAAGTGAAAGGAACTCATAATTCAATCGAGCAAAGAACACTAAAGTCATTTGTCCACTCGAAATAAATCACTCCTGTAACTGTGTCAATTAAACCTAGTGTCGTTCATAAATTAAATCCAGTGCATAACACTCATACTAAGGAATTTTGACTGCCGACAATGGGAAATATAGCATTTACAATTGGTTCCTCCCCCATCCACCCTGGAATCATCGAGTAGAATAGAGTAGGGGTGTGGGACCTGTCATAAAAATATTGACACGGGGATGACAGGCATCTGTAATAAACCCGTACCTGATAATTGTCGCAAAGCCCCAACAGTATTTGTGTGCCTGGATAATAATTTCCATCTCCATTGTGCATGCCACACGGGATTACATCGCATTAGTTTATGTGTCCAGACCAAAGTGCCCCTTGCCCCCCTTCTAAAATTATATGACCCCAATGCTCAAGGTATTACAGCCATTGTATAAGAACTGCTGTCATCCCACTTGCAAACAATTTTCCAAGTGAATCATAAACAATATTACGGATTTTAGAAATAATCACATACCCGTGGGGTGTATTTGCCAATGACCAACGTGAAACGTAGTGTGCAATAATTCGTCGGATTACTCTAGCAATGCCGGTGTTGAGTTTATTTGTACAGGGGGTTTTTGCAAAGAAGAAATCGCAGGAAACACCGCCAATTTCCATCCCTTCACCTCCTCCCCAGGCTCTAATTCCCGCAGTTTGCTATCTTAACGCTCACTCTACACGCCATTGCAATACAAATTACCACTCAGTGTATTACCCTGCACAGTACAACCCCTCGTCTTGGTTTAAAAATCGATAGTAAACGCTTTTACGTGTGGGTAAATCAAAGTGTGACGCGCATCATTTATTTGTTCGGTGTCGTGTGACCGAGGGGAATTGAGACTTCTTCGCAATGCTCATAATTCAAGTCAGGAAAATGGATTTTGCACTTGAATTTCCGTGTCAGCTGTAGTTTGATAAATTTCAGTAATAAACCAGGACCTATTTATTGTATCGATTTCTCAGTAATTTCCGCAGAAATACGTTTTATTTGAGTCATTGTAAAGTGATTGCTGTTTCGTATGAAAATGCATGAAAAAAATGCAAAGATATAATCCCGACGAACATCCCCCGCAGTGACTGTTCCAAATAGCAAAAAGTAGGTTCGAAATTCACATTCGGACAATTTTTTACCTAAAATTGGTTATTTCAACGAAAATCCAACAGTTCTTGCGTGCGAAACGTCAGTGGTCCGTAAAAACTGTAATAAATGAGTAAAAAGTAGGGTTGTACTGGGGAGTTAGAATAGATATGCTGCAGTTACATTAATCTCGGTGGACGTCTCGTTGAACGTTGGCCGCATCGATGAACGAGTAACATTTATCGTATTTGCCGGGTTGTGTTCAGCTCCCCAACAATGGATGCCACAGCTAGGAGAAGAGAGCTCTTCGCCTCTTGGATAAAAGTGTAAAAATGCTGACAAGCGGATAATAGAGGAGGCAGTCAGTCACTTTGAGAGATGGCGCATGGAGCTGTAGTAAAGTGAGAGAGAGGTAAACACAAATACAGAATAAGAGTGAGACACGAGTTAACTGTATGTGTCCCGGGGTTTGGCGCGCTGAGCCGTGAAAGGGAAAAAGATGGATGAACAACAAACGCGGTTAGCGTGCAACGGGCGAAGGTAACAGAATTTTCGCTGGGCAATAAATCATAGTGCTCTCTCAGCTTTTTTTCCTGTTACCCATATACAACATTGAACTTTGTTGGAAATGGCAAGCGGAATGGGCCGCCCTTGCATTACTTGACGGTGTGGAGGGGAGCTACTCTGACGTACGAGTGCCACAGATGACACAAAAAAAAACTACATAAAGAAAAAGTGAATGAATAAAATGTGCCTCTGTTGACCCTAAAAACGAATTGTCACTGTCAAATTTCTGTTTGTAAAGCTTGTACGCTATTGCCGCCAAATGAAAAATCCATTTTGTCGTGGGGTGAGCATACAAAATGGAAGTCCAATTGAGAGAGGGGACGATTGTAGATTAATTTCACTTGTCAATTGGAATTCAACTTTCGTATTGGGTTGAGTATGATTGATGGGGGGGAGAGCTGTCAGATTTATCCGTATTATCCGGAGATCTGGATGTACTCTAATTCGAGGTGTCACGGGTCTGATGGTTTTTGACGGATTGTAATCGTATTTTCAATGGTTGGAGTAGTCGTTCGAGTCTTGTCTTTACTCTTTTGTAATAAAGATTTCCTCTGCAGGTCTGGTAATTGGGTTAATTTGGCAGTGGACCCTCTGATTGTCGTTGACATTTCTCGATGAGGAGGGGAGACTATTTCAGGGGAGTCACCTACTGGCGATTTTTATTCAGGAGATTGAAGGGAAGCATCAGCGACAGGTTTGCATCGTTCACGACATTGGCTTTTGTATTTGTCCAATACGGCCCTCAAGTCCGTACGTATATCGAATACATTATCAGGATCTCTGTCGTTCATGGGGTATACGGTTTGGTACGCCTGTGGAAGGCTTGAAAAGCAGTCAAGAGAGCGAGCTGTACAGCTCTCGGCGGGCAACTATATTGATTGTGTAGCTGGCTGACAGCGACAGTGACATATGTCACCGAGGCTTCTCGTTATCGCTGATTTAAACATGAGGCTGACTGGATACCCCCGCGCATTCGTTGTGCCACTGACTTCACTCTCTTTCTCGTGTGAAAAAGCACCGGACGGCAACGAGCAAGACGCAAAATCCAACCAACTTCGTATTTCTAGCCGTCAGTCCATTGTTGTTATTATTATTGTCGCGTTCATTATTAGCATTCTGACGACAACCGTTGACGGGTAATTCGTGCGGTGTGGAGATGGTCGTCGGGGAGAAAATTAGCGCATGCACATTTGAAATTTTAATT